GTTCCCACGTGTGTCTATGAAAATCTGGAAGAAGATGATATCTGATCTGGACAATTACTACTGTAGTTACCCTTTACTGAGCTCTACCTGAGTACCTAATGCTGCCCTAAGTACCTTTATCTCCCTTCATCTGATGTCAGTGGGTCAGGTAGGTATTATTATCCTACTTTGTGTCAGAGGGACAGGGCTGCCCAGTGGAAAGAATATGGGCTTTGAGTCACATAGACATGCATTCAAGTCCCTGCTGGGTTTCCTGGCCCAGAACTTGGCCCCTCAGAACCTCCGTTAACTCATCCATAAAATGGGTGTTATAAGATCTACTTTTTGGAGTTGTTGTGAAGATTAAAGAGGCACCATCCGGTTCATAGTAAATGCTCAGTGAACTGTAGTTATTGTTATTATGGATAAACAGGAGAGAGCCAAACCCAGGTTGGGAGAAAGGATTACAAGGTGGCGGCTCCCTTCCTTCCCACTCCTGGGGTGGCTGTGTCCTGACTTTCCTGGGAAGAGACGGTGGTGGGGGCTGGAGGTAACCAACATGAGCAGGTGAAGCAACAGTTCCAGGCAATGTCAGAGGCGGAATCCTCTAGAACTTGGTTAAAAACCATATTGAGGGAACATTTGAAAAACACCATGGTTAGTGCGGGAGATCTGGTAATCCTTTCCCAACCTCCACGGATTTAAGGTAATTGAGGAAAGTGGAGAGAAGACAGGCCGGGGCTATATATGACTCCGGGAATATTTGATGGATATTGGCAAATCGTTTGCACAGTAACCCCAACCCCCTTCGCCCCCATATACACACACAATAGTTTTGTGCGTGTGCGTTTGGTCTTTTCAATCAAACATTAAAAAGCTCCACTGTTCTGTTGGCTCAAACAGTCTTCACTCTACTAACTCTTCAGTAGGGTATAAAGCTCCCACATTAAAATACTGAGAGTAGCCCTGGCTGGTTTGGCTCAGTGGATAGAGCGTCGGCCTGTGGACTGAAGGGTCCCAGGTTTGATTCCGGTCAAGGGCATGTACCTTGGTTGCGGGCACATCCCCAGTGGGAGGTGTGCAGGAGGCAGCTGATCAATGTTTCTCTCTCATCAATGTTTCTAACTCTCTGTACCTCTCCCTTCCTCTCGGTAAAAAATTAATAAAATATTAAATAAAATAATAAAATAAAATACTGAGAGTATATGAAGCACAAACACAACACAAGCAAGTCAGTGTGGCCAGGGCCCAGCCACGGTGGCTCAGTGATTGGGCATTGACCTATGAACTAAGAGGTCAGGGTTCAATTCCTAGTCAGGGCACATGCCCAGATTGTGGGCTCGATCCCCAGTGTGGGGCATGCAGGAGGCAGCCATTGATGTTTCTATCTCTCTACTTCCCCCTTCCTTTCTGAAATAAATAAAAATATATTTATTTTTTTTAAAAAGTCAGTGTGGCCAGGGTAAATAAGAACTATATCATGGTTACCTCTGTGCCCATAGAGTCACAAACCCCATCATAGGATTAATTTATTCAAGACATATTTATTGCCCAGGTTGGGTGGCTCAGTTGATTGGAGTGTCATCCCATGCACCAAGGCAGATTCAATTCCTGCTCAGGGCACATACTTAGGTTGCAGGTTCAATCCCCTGTCGGGGCACATACAGGAGGCAACTGATCAATGTTTCTCTCTCATCTCTCTCTCTCTCCCTCCCTTCTTTCCTTCCTCTCCCTCTAAAATTAATAAAAACATGTCCTCAGGTAAGGTTTAATTGAGCTAGGAGTCCTGCCCAGAGCTGCAGATGTACTGATGAAAGAGACAGATGAAGCCCCTGCTTGAAGTCTCGTGAAAGAAGCAGAGAATTGAGCAATCAGTTTCTTTATTTTCAAGAATACCTTTAATCGTTTTGCTAGAAAATATGATCACATTGTTCAAAACTCAAAAAGTACAGAAAGATGTATAGTGAAAAGTTCTGTTCTATAATTGAGCCCCAAGTGCCTCAGTTCCCCTCTTTGGAGCCCAATATTTCTAGTTTCTTAAGTAATTTCTACAGCGTGATCAATGCAATAATTGGAGAAGTACAGAGTTCCATGAGAGCACATTGCGGGAGTGCCTAAGCCAGTTCAGGGTTTAGGGAATGAATGAATGAATGAGTGAGCAAATAAGTGTTTCTCGAAGACCCCAATTCTGTGGAGGAAGAGAAGAAAAGGTGAGGAAGAACCACCAGCCATGGACCCTGACGCCTTAAGCCCTGCACAGCCACCAGCCGGCCAGAGATCATCCCCAATGCGACTCTGTCCCTTGCCGGCCATTGATCCCGACATCACCAACTTATTTAGCAGCAAAAACATCCTGGCGCAGTGCATCGTGCTTAGCACCAGGCCTGTCCATTTGGAATATTCTGCCCAAGTCTACAAATACTTGTGAACATACCAGAACTTGCCCCCGGAGTTTTGGTTCTGATGAACCTTGAGTCACAGGCCGTAGAGTTGGCAGAGGGATTAGGAGAACTTCACTGGGAAGGGTTTCTTCTCTCCAATCAGGTTTTCTACAGTATCTGTCATCAGAAAGAGGGTAGGATAATAAACCAACAATGTATCTTCTTTTTTGGAGTTGAGAGAGGCTGAGTGACTTGCCCAAAGTCACAGAAGCTGGGATTTGAACCTACATCTGCTGGGCTCCACTACACCTCACCCCTACTTCTCACAGTAGCTGAGGTGCTTAAACAATACCTCCTGCCCTTCAGGGCTCCTGGGGAAGCCCATGAATCCCCTACACTACCCTCCTCAATTGTTCTTACCTTCCTGAGCAAAATCTTTTTACCCATTAGGGTACTTACTATAGTACCTTGGGCCTGTGAGACTGCCAAGGGCCGAAAGCAGTATATTAAAAATCTAAAAAGATAGCCCTAACCGGTTTGGCTCAGTGGATAGAGTGTCGGCCTGTGGACTGAAGGGTCCCAGGTTCGATTCCGGTCAAGGGCATGTACCTGGGTTGCGGGCACATCCCCAGCAGGGAGTGTGCAGGAGGCAGCTGATCGATGTTTCTCTTTCATCTATGTTTCTAACTCTCTATCCCTCCCTTCCTCTCTGTAAAAAAGTCAATAAAATATATTTATAAAAACACACTAAAAGGATGTATAGGCTCCAAATTTTTCAAAGAAGATTGCAAAACTAAAATGAAGGTTTAATAAAATAGCTACAGAGAGGCATGTCTACTAGTCAACCGTAATTGAATTTAACTCTTACATATTTATATATAAGTATATAGTATACAAAAAAGATTCCCAAGAACAGAGTGAACCATTTTTTTCTTAATGAAGTTCAGAATTAAACTAATCCTTCACATTTTTTAACCACAAAGACAAAAACTATATTTTCTATCTGGGAAGTGAGGTGAGGTTTGATGTGTTGGATAGGACAGGGGTCTTAGGAAGGGCCTGGGGTGTCGTGAGGAGTCTGGAGAAGGACAGCGCCAAGCACTCACCTCCCAGCTGCTTTGCGATCACGACCACAGCAGCCACTGCCGCCAGCCTCACCCACAGCAGTGGGGCCTCTCTGCATTTCTGTGTCCCTCGTTTTAACAAAGGCCTGAGGGATGCCTGCCCAGCAGGCTGAGCCACCAAAGCTCTGGGGATCAGGGAGAACTAAGCAGAGGGAAAGGAGAGTGCTGACAGGGCAGAGGCTGCCAGCCTTCAGGGCTATAAAGGGCAGGGCCCCAGAGAAAGTGGCACCACATGGAGACCCAGACTGTGCATCGAGAGCTGGGTGAGTAAAGTCCTGAGGGACGCTCGGGCCCTTCCTTCCTTTCTCCTGCAGACACATGCCCAGGAGGGGACCTCATTTTCATGCTGCCTGGTCAGAGCCTTCTAGGATGGCTGGAGAAGAGTGGGGAACTCTGCAGGGAGGCAGCCGTCTCTTGCCACCCCAAAAGGAGTCACTAAGAAGGCAATAATCACTACCCTCGCCATCACAGCCGGGAGGAGGCATGGGGCTGCAATAAATGACAGGCTCCTAGGGCATAGGGAGCAAGTGGAGGGGGCAGGAGCTTGGAAATGCTTATTCAGAAGTTCAGACTGGAAAGATATACCACAAAATTGACATGCATCAGCCCCTGGGCCCGATACTAGACAGAGGGAAGGGCCATGAATGGCACAGCTGCCTGTCTTCCTTCTTCCTTCCCTCCCTCCCTCCCCTTCTTCTCCCTCCTTATCCTTCCCTTCTTTATTCTCCCTACCATCTTTTCTGTCTACCTAATCTCTCTGAGACTCAGTATCCTCATCTGCAAGATGGGGACAATGATAGTACTTACCTCACAGGCTGGCTGTGAAGATTGCATGTATTCATGCATGCAGAGCATTTAGGACAGGGTCTGGCACAGAGTGAGCCATTATTAGGTGTTAGCTATTATTGTCCTCTTTTCTTCCTCACTTTCCTTCAGTAAGTTTTTTTCAACGGCACCCGTGCCCCCTCACCCCCAACCTCCCAGTGCCCCAGCATGGACTCTGCTTGGTGCTGCAACTTGCACTCAGGAGACCCAGGCCCTCCATTGAGATGTTCACCAGGACATAGTCAATAGGAGCACAGATCAGTACTGTGACGAGCGCTAGAAATCAGGGAAGAAAGCAAGCCGCTGCGGGCTGGGGAGAGCAGCAAAGTCTCTCTGAGGAGCTGGGCAGGTTGAGCGACAGAGAAGTAGGAGGGGAATGGGAGCATGGCCATGTACAGCCAGTCAATCAGTTTGAGGGCTGTGAAGAGCTAGGTGAGAGTGAGACCACACACTGGTAATATGAGGGATCTGGACTACATGGTTGCCAAGGAGTTTATATTAGGGTGTGAGACTGAGGCAATGCTGCCACCTGTAGGGGGTACCTGGAGGCTGGCAAGTGAACGAGAGCTACATTTATCAAGAGGTCACGATGCCTGTGCCAGGCTTTACCTGCACTATTGCTTCTAATCCTTACAATAACTCTGCCATAGAAGCTTTATTGATGGAAGACAACAGACTCAACTAGTGAGAGGCAGAGTCAGAATCCCAACCAAAGTCTTTCTGCTGGACTTCAAGCCTCCTTTACTCCCCTCTCTGCTCCATCACCTCATCTCCATCCCAGACGCCATGTCATTGGTGTGTGTTCTGTCTTCCAGGAACCCTTCCAACCACCAAAATGGCTCAAACCAACCCCATGCCAGGGTCTGTGGGGCCATGGAAGGTAAGCCCTCCCCCATCGCATGGGAAAGTTCATAGGGGAAGGTCCAACCAAGGTCCAGATGCTTTTTCAGGAAGGATCGTTTAGGATGTCCCATTTGGACAGAAGGATGACTGTGGAAGCCCATGATGGGTGGGAGATAATACCTAGTTTTCTAGTTCAACTCCTCTCTGCGCCGCTAAAATCATCTTAAAGTTGAGCAGCCCAGAGTAGATTATGCCATGGAGAAACTGAGAGCCCAGAAAAGAGAGATTTGCCATCGGATCAAAAATAAGTTATAGGACCCAGGTCTTCTGACTCTCATCCTGAACTTGGTTGTGACTATTACCTGAAGTGGCTGATCCTCAGTCTGACCCTCTACCCTCTTCATTGGATCAACTTGAAGGCCAGTTCACAGCTTTGGGAGTTCGTTGTCCTCTAGCCAGGTTTAAGAATTCTCATTCAAAGCATGGAAAGGGTTCATTACAACTCTTTCTCTATACCTTAGGTTTCTATAGCACGTTTGGCTGGAGAACCTAAGTAATAATCCACAGGGAGCCCCTGGGCCTCCCAGAATCCTGGCCCCTGGGCCATATTTATGCAGGAAGCATAGTGAATAAGAGTCCTGGAGTCCTTGGTCTGTCTACTGGGCCAGTTATTGTTCCTAACAGACCATCCTATATAATAAAAGGCTAATATGCAAATCAACCAAACGGTGGAACTACTGGTCGCTATGATGCGCACTGACCTCCGGGGGCAGACGCTCAATGCAGGAGCTGCCCCCAGTGGTCAGTGCACTCCCACAGGGGAGCGCCGCTCAGCTAGAAGCTGGGTTCCCAACTGGCAAGCACAGCAGCCGTGGCAGGAGCCTCTCCTGCCTCTGCGGCAGGCAGTGCTACAGATGTCCTATTGCTGGCTTAAGCCATCAGTCAGACATCCCCCAAGTGCTCCCAGACTGCGAGAGGGCACAGGCTGGGCTGAGGGACCCCCCCCCCCCAAGTGCATGAATTATCGTGCACCGGGCCTCTAGTTCCTATCATAAACCAATCCCCCACACCTTATCCTTATCCTGGGCATGTGAACACCACCAACTAGTGGCATTAATTCAAACCCCCTCCTATCCTATCTACACTGGAAGAGACCTCATCAGGCATCCTGGACTACAGCTAGTGATGGAAAACACAGGGTCACACATAAGCTACACTGTTGACCAGGACTCTTGTTTTTCCTGATGTACCACATTCTAGCTCTCTTTCCCATTCAATCTCATTTCAGATAACCATCTATGACCAGGAGAACTTCCAGGGCAAGAGGATGGAATTCACTAGCTCCTGCCCAAATGTCTCTGAGCGCAGTTTTGAAAATGTCCGATCTCTCAAGGTGGAATGTGGCGCGTGAGTATGGACCTCAGCAGAACCTCAGGCTCCTTATTGCCAGTCCCCTAAGACTTGGGGCCATAAAGGTGGGAATTGGGGAAGAAAAATGTTCCCCGGACTCTACACATGTAATTTAGTAACTCAAAGCTAGAAGGTACATGAGGTTTTTAGTGGCTTGGTACTAGATTTGTGAGGTATTAAAGAAATATATAGACCTAGCCAGTTTGGCTCAGTGGATAGAGTGTCGGCCTATGGACTAAAGGGAGGATTTGTTCCAGTCAAGGGCACATACCTGGGTTCAGGCTCCATCCTGGTCAGGAGTGCATGCAGAAGGCAACCATCGATGTGTCTCTCTCACATCAATGTTTCTCTCTCTGTCTCTCCCCCTACCTTCTACTCTCTCTAAAAATCAGTGGAAAAATATCCTTGGGTGAGGATTAGAAAGAGAGAGAGAGAGAGAAAGAAAGAAAGAAAGAAAGAAAGAAAGAAAGAAAGAAAGAAAGAAAGAAAGAAAGAAAGAAAGAAAGAAAGAAAGAAAGATATAATGGGTTGAGGCAGTGACAGTAATCAGATCTATGCTTCTGGACCCCATAGGCTGCTACCTAGGATTCCTTTCACAACAGCCCCAGGACCCTTGAGTTTTTCTTGCCTGCAGAAAATAGAAAACAGCCAAGCTGCAGCCTCTTTACAACCAACTCCCCTCCTGTATGTCCCAGAGAGAGAGCAGACATCACTAATTTCTCTGTGTAAAAAGGAACTCAACCACAGCACTTGAGAGTCATGTTGGTTCATATTTAGTCGTCCAGGAGTTTCTGGTTGGTGGTTAATCTCTTCGGTGAGGAAGACCTTCTCTTGTTTTGTCTTCTGACGCTTGGCAGGATAGTCAAGGCCTTTATCATCAGTATGAAAACACATAAGGAAAGGACTCTCATTTGGCCTAGGCCCGTGGTCGGCAAACTGCGGCTTGCGAGCCACATGCGGCTCTTTGGCCCCTTGAGGGTGGCTCTTCCTAAGCCTTAGGAGTACCCTAATTAAGTTAATAACAATGTACCTACCTATATAGTTTAAGTTTAAAAAATTTGGCTCTCAAAAGAAATTTCAATTGTTGTACTGTTGATATTTGGCTCTGTTGACTAATGAGTTTGCTGACCACTGGTCTAGGCAGTTGCTCACAACCAAAATTGAGCTTTTTAACTTCTTAAAAGGAATACTTTAAGGTATTGTCAGTAACTGAAACCTGGTTGTGAAAATATGATCTGAGGGGTCTTATAAATAAGGTATGGGTATGCAACAGCAGGAGAAAGAACCCACGTAATCCATCAGTTGCCTGTTCAACCCTTTGCTTCCTTAGGAAGAAGCCAATAGGTTTGGCTGGAGCCAAAGCAATAGTCAGTCACTTTATCCTGAACCTGGAGCTCCAAGTAGAGAATAAGGTAACTAGGAAAGAAAGGAAATATAACTTTAGACTGACTTTGCTAATACACATTACTCAGGCGAGTGAAGTAGATCCTTTCAGTGGATAATCCCAAAATAAATGTTACATTTATAAACCTGCTTAGTGCGGCTGCCAGCTCACATCCCACCTCATGTGATAAATGTATTCTTTTGTATGGCTTTGTTAGAATTGGCTTGATATTTTACTCCACTATTAACATCTAAAGCAAAAATGCCTTCTCCCTGAGGCCACGTAGACTCTGAACACCAGGAGCAAATGCCACTAATTGTCTTTGGCAGCTGGATTGGTTATGAGCATACCAGCTTCTGTGGGCAACAGTTTATCCTGGAGAGAGGAGAATACCCTCGCTGGGATGCCTGGAGTGGGAGCAATGCCTACCACATTGAGCGCCTCATGTCCTTCCGCCCCATCTGTTCAGCTGTGAGTCTCTGAAATTTTTACTTCTGTGCCTGTGGGGAATGGGGCAAGAGAGAGTGCATATGGATTGACACACATGTTACTTCTCATCAGTTATGCTGAAATGTGGCAGGAAGAAAGAGAAAAGTAAAAGAAGAAAAACCACTGGTCTCTCTGTTCTAAGTTTGCCATTTGATTTTTATTTACTAGATAATAATTTCATTAAGCTAAAAGTAAATGCCTTCCTATTTATAGGTGGCAGGAAGTGGATACTCAGGAGCCCAGATCTTCAAGTGCAGTGGGGTACTAGTAAGAGCCTTATAGTAAAAAAGTAAATCCTTAGCCAGTTAAAATTCAATCCGTATAACATTTTACCCAGAAACAGCGAAGTACTAACGTAACCTTTCAATAAGTGGGATAACTGAAGAAACAGATAAATTTTCCAGTGTCTTTTATCTTTGATTCATAACCTTCTGGTTTCTAATACTAAGCATTATTCAATTCTGCATCAGACTAGGATACTTCCCACTCTTCGGGAGTTCAAGTAGACGCAGGATAATCTTCAACTGTCTGTTGAAAATGATCCTTATATTGGGAAGAGTGAGACTGGGCTACAACCTTTCCAAATATTTGTCTATATCATGTGATTTTTTTTCTCATGATTTTAATTAATGATCTCACCTTAGTTTAAAATCCTACTGAAATTCAAGTAGTAAAGAAGGTAACCTAAAGTTATAGATCTAAAATATACTGCCTTATCTAGATGTTTGCATCTCACTTTAACTCTGCATTTTTCCTAAGTGTATACTCTGATGCGTTTTAAAAAATATGTACACCCAAGTAACCAATACCCTACTCAAATATAAAACAATTCCATCACCTCATAAAGTTCCCCGTGTCCCTTTCCAATCAATTGCTCCTCCCCAAGTTCTATCACCAGAGCTAATTTGGGCTGTTTTCGTACTTCATACAGGTTAGTCTTTGCATTAAGAAATGCTTGTGTAGTATTCACATCCCCTACTGGACTTTTAGATTATTTCCAACACCACGCACACACGTTTACTTTCCCTATTAATTTGTGGGATCTTTTTCCACATTAGTGAATATTAATCCCTTGATTGGCTGTGTGTTGCAAGTGTTTTTTCCCCTGTTGTTATATTTTCATTAGTCTTTTGTTGTTTCAAAGTATAGTACCAGTTATTTATACATTTCAAATGTTACTAGAGGCCCAGTGCACGAAATTTGTGCAAAGGGGCTCAGCCCTCGCAGCCCTGGCTTTGTCTGGAAAGCTGTTCAGCTGTCCAGTCTAATTAGCATATTACGCTTTTATTATTATAGACTAGAGGCCCGGTGCACAAAAATTTGTACACTGGCGGGGGCGGGGGGCGGTATCCCTCAGCCCCACTTGTGCCCTCTCACAGTCTGGGACCCCTCAGGAGATAACGACCTGCTGGCTTAGGCCCACTCCCGGGTGGCAGAGGGCAGGCCCAATCCCTAGGTGCAGCCCCTGGTTGGGCTCAGAGCAGGGCCGATTGGGGAGTTGGAGCACCGCCCCCTATTATGCACAGAGCAGGGCGGATCAGGAGGTTGTGATGCCACCCTCAGTCACGCTCAGGGTAGGGCCGACTGGGGGGTTGGGGCGGCGCCCCCTGTCACACTCAAGGCAGGGTCAACGGGGAGGTTGCGGCGCCACCCCGTCACGCACAGAGCAGGGCAGATCAGGGGGTTGTGGCACCACCCCTGTCACATACAGAGCCGGCCGATCAGGGGGTTGGGGCGCTGCCCCCTGCCACGCACAGAGCAGGGCCCATCAGGGGGGTTGGGGAGCTCCCTCCTGTCACGCACAGAGCACAGCCGATCAGGGGGTTGGGAAGCTCCCCTCTGTCACGCACAGAGCAGGGCCGATCAGGGGGTTGGGGCGCCTTCACCTTTCATGAACAGAGCAGGGCTGATAGGGAGGTTGTGGCCCCGCCCCCTGTCACACACAGAGCCGCAGGGCGATCAGGGGGTTTGGGCACTGCCCCCTGTCACGCTGCTCCAGTGGCCAGGAGGCCTCGTGGCTCCGCTGACCCCAGTGCTAGGAGGCCTCACGGCTCCACTTGACACAGGGGCAGTGAGGCCTCACTGCTCAGCTGATCCCGGTGCTAAGAGGCCTTGCTGCTCCGCTGATCCCGGTGCCAGGAGGCCTTGTGGCTCCACTGATCCCGGTGCTGGGAGGCCTCGCTGCTCCGCTGATCCCGGTGCTGGGAGGCATATTACCCTTTTACTATATAGGATAGAGGCCTGGTGCACAGGTGGGGGCCGGCTGGTTTGCCCTGAAGGGTGTCCTGGATCAGGGTGGGGGTCCCCACTGGGGTGCCTGGCCAGCCTGGGTAAGGGGATGATAGCTGTTTGCAGCTGGTCACACCCCCTTCAGGGTGGGGGTCCCCACTGGGGTGCCTGGCCAGCCTGGATGAGGGGATAATGGCTGTTTGCAGCTGGTCACACCCCCTTCAGGGTGGGGGTCCCCACTGGGGTGCCTGGCCAGTCTGGGTGAGAGGCTGAGGGCCGTTTTCAGGCTGGCAAGTGACTGAAGCTCCCAACCTCTCCTTTTTTTTTCAATTCTGGGATTTATTTACCTTCTATGGCTATCACTGGAGCTGAAAGCCAGCTTTAGCTCTGAGGCTCGGCTCCAGCTCTGAGACCTCGGCTGCTGAAAGCAGGTTTCTGGGCTTTGTTTACCTTCTGTATTTGAAACTTTGTTGTGACTCCAGCTCTGAGATCCCGGCCGGCAGGCTGAAAGCAGGTTTCTGGGTTTTTTTTAGCTTCTATAATTGCAACAATGTTTCTTAAACTACAAGCTCAGAGGCTGGCAGCGGCAGGCAGGGAACGTTGGCCTCCTCCATCACTGAAGCAAGCAAGCCTCCTGTTCGCTTCAAGCTGCCTGGCTGCTGGCCGCCATCTTGGTTGGCAGTTAATTTGCATATCACCCTTAGCCAATGGGAAGGGTAGCGGAGGTACAGTTAATTACCATGTTTCTCTATTATTAGATAGGATGGTATTAAATTGGATTAAACAGGATTATGGGTAAATTTTTTCTTATAAAAAACTGCCTGAAATATTTTGACCTCAATGATCATGTACTTCTTTGTGTAAACCAGGAGTGTTTTTTGAAAAATATGGTAATTACAAAATTAAGATAGCCATAACACTAGTACTAAACTTTAAAAAAAAATTTGGATTACAGAATCATAAGGAGTCCAAAATTACCATCTTTGAGAAAGAAAACTTTATTGGACGCCAATGGGAGATCTGTGATGACTACCCCTCTTTGCAAGCCATGGGTTGGTTCAACAACGAAGTTGGTTCCATGAAGATACAATGTGGGGCGTAAGTGCAAAAACAGTGTTGGAGCACATTTCAAAGTAACTCTCGCAGCTGTAAATCTTGAGACTATTAACATAGCAGTGATTGTGTCTTATCAAATTTCATATATTGGCATCATATTGGTATGGCTGTAACAGTCTAGTTATTTACAATTTTGAACCTCAAAATCTTGGTACCAACTTCAGGTCAGTTTTTTTCTTTCCCTGAGACTCCCCTAGAGTCTGTGGAATCATTTGTTGATTACTCATACCTTTTTTCATGATCAAGGTTAATTTTTAATTAAGTATAGCCATTACTTACAAATGGCGCCTGACATTTTCTAGGCCTAAAAGTATTCCATACCAATTGTGTTGAGGAAAGAGGCTGTTTTGAAGTATTGACCAGATCCTAATTAGGTTTTAATAGGCCAATGTGCTTTTGGATTTTCTAGCTGGGTTTGCTACCAGTATCCTGGGTACCGTGGCTATCAGTATATCTTGGAATGTGACCATCATGGAGGAGACTATAAACACCGGAGAGAGTGGGGTTCTCATGCCCAGACTTCCCAGATTCAATCAATTCGCCGTATCCAACAGTAGTGGATTAGAAGCTCCAAGAGAATTCCTCAAGCATGAGACAACCTTGCTAAGCAATCTAGAATGAGCTTTATGTTCTGCTCACAGACACTGCTTACAAATGTTAGTTGCTGAAATCCACAATAAATGTCATTTAAAAAATGAATTAACTAGCGTGCTTTATATAAATCACACTTAAATGGCTGCAAACTTTTAGAAACAAGTTTCTATAAAATCCCGGATTTCCTTCTGTGTCCTTGGAAGTCACTTACCAGCCCAACCACAATTATTCCCCATGTCAAATAACATTCAAGCAAATAACCCAAATGTACCAGTCTTGCAGTGACAAACACACTTTTGGTAAATGTTTCTGCATATTTTCTCCTCATCCCCTACCCTAATAATGTTGATGTCAGCATTGATTTTTTTTTCAACTTGGTGACAAATCAATGCTAAACAAACTTAGGAAATTTCTTAAATAATGCATTAGCATATATTTCTACATAAAGTTATGAATAAATCCAGTCTTGGCAGCTTATTTTGGTTGCTTAATTGCTTAGCTCAATTTTGGTTTCATACTTTAAGGTTCAATATCATGCAAAAAGGCAGGACAGCTGTCCTCACAGCTGATTTTTCAATAAACACGCCATTTTTAAGCACCTTAATAATCTGGATGATTTTTAAAAATGCCATGACATAAGACCACAGTACATTTAAGACTTAAGTTTGTACATTTCATCTTTTGGAAATATATCATCAATGTCACAATATCAACTTAGTTTTCAGTAATTTTTGTTAATTAAAGCACACAAAATATAACACAAACACCTCAGAAAACTTTAAAATTTTTTTATTCAACCATGTACACTTATTGTCTCTTAATTGGATCTACAAAGTTCTCAAGTTTTTTTCTGATAAAATAAGTAAATCTTGGTATGGATGTAGAGTGTTTGTAATTTATATTTTTAAAACACTGAACATGAAGTAAGACATCAATAAAGGAAGATCATTACGTAACTGACACTTCTTCAGAATCCATATCAGAAACAGCTATGGCAAATACCTAAGCATTTAGCAAAAGGATAAATTTCTGGCCACTATTCTTTTACCTAGAAAAGGCCTATCTTTTTGACTGGGCAAAACAAACAGTGAAAACAAAAAAAAAAAGTCTTGAATTGGGAGAAGGAAAACATCCTCTAATATAACTGTAGTTCACTAATTATCCTTTCCCTTAGATTGAGGTAACTCAGCTCCTAAATGATGACGCACACAAGACTGAACATAAGTGAACTACTGACAGATGCTGAGAAGCCAGAGCCATCTAAGATGATGCTACACTCCTGCATTTATGCCTTCTGAGGCCATGCATTATCGGCCACCTTTTGAGTCTTGACTAGTAGACTTCGTTTCTGTCACTTTCAGTGAAGATACAGAAGGGTTCTGCTGTGTTTTCAAAGTCAACAATAATACATCAAGAGCACACTTGATGACAGAGAAGTAACATTCTTCTATACATAATTAAAAACTATAAAACAAGGATTTCTTTTGTATCTAGAAGCATGGGGAAAATACCATTAGTATTATCTTCTACTTAAACTTATTAGCCTCTTCTACAAAGGTCCTGGAGAGATTACAAAACAATCTTTTGAAAGATGACTGACAAAACCTGGCCAGTAAATCTACACAATCTTTTAAGTACACATACATGTGAAATAAAGCTATTTATTTAGTACATGCAGACTGCAGCAATTTAACCAAATTCTAAACTTGTTCTAATCAGCTTGGATAATTTTAAAAAGATACACATTATCTTTAAAACAACCTGTGCTTAGATATTTAAGCAAGATAATGATTCTAATTTCAAGTCAATCATTCATTCATTAAGCCAAATTTATGCTAGTCATAAAGGTAATAGGTCATCCTACACCTTTAAACCAGGTTTAAGTCATAAAATTATCAGATAACTCCATGTGGCATAAGATCCTTCCTTCATTTCAGTTTGAATTACTTCCCATTTTTATTTGATCAAATAAACCAAAAATTTCACTGAGGAAGTAAGAGCATCCAACAGTTTATACAACTGATAAAAATGCCCTGTTTCAAGAAAAGCCCTTTAGTAGATACAAGTCAAGCTCTCATTTAAAACTGGAGTTTACTAAAACAGGTGCCAGTTTTCCTCTCTTTTGCTTCTACTGATAAGCTAGCCCAGTACTATAATTTTGAGCCATGTTTCTAAAGATGGTGAAGCTAAGAACAGCAAAGTAATAAGGATAAGTCACTTTGGGTAATGACACACAAATTAAAATTCAAAACATGTGCATAGCTTTATTCATCTACTTAGATCTAACCTTTTCATGGAGCTTCGGCAAAATTCGAGTGTGCAAAATGCATTTCTAAAACGTAATGCAAGCAAAGCTTTTCACATTTACACTGGCAAGAAATACAGAGAAACTAACAAGTCACATCAGGGAGAGTTTTTTTAATGACAAGAATTGCACAGTTCATTATTTTGAGACAATTGTTGCAGACATAAGTATTTAAATTTTTCTAAGCAAGGTGCTTTAACAGTAAAAAAATTTTAAAGTTGGAAAGAGCCAATAACTTGGATCATAGCTCACATAGAATTCCAAATTAAAGCGGACTGTTATCTCCCTAGATTTTTCAAACAATGCTTTTTATAACACTTTTTTTTTTAAATAACACTAAAGGAAACAGCAAGCTGAAACTTTTCAAAGCACACAAGAAATGGTGTCATCACATTACTCGAAGAAGGTGCTAAGGAAGGAGGGAAAGGGAGTGAAGAGTTCTTTTACTATTTCCCACTACAGAACAGCCACTAACAGACTAAGAACAAACAAAAGAAACAATAAAAGTAAATTAAATCACTTCCCCAGTTTATAAAATAGTTCCAGTTTGTGACAAGATCTATAACTTTAAACAGAGAGCACCAGTTGGGCGATAGAATGAGCATTTCATACTGCATAAAAATTAGTGAGGTGGTAAGAACCATCAACCATCTCAGGCATTACTACATGGCCTTTCCAATTTATTTATTTTTTAATACACATGCAAGGCACATTGATATAAAAATAGATCTCTGGCCAAGAAATATATTAAATAAGCAAATTAAAATTTGGCTTTGCAATATTGGCAACATCAAAATATAACCAGATAGCTTTGGACCACATATCTTTCTCATATTCCTCCACCCCATTTGGTGTTTTTTCCTCCTATTTTGGGTTCAATCTTCAAGTTTGGGTATGTGCTTGAGAAATGACTTTTCTCTTGTCAAGTAGCATTCCTACTATACTTGTTTATCTTTGCCAAGTAAAAATATACTAGAGAAGCAGAATAGTTGGGAGTTCTAATTGATTTAATTAAACTAAATCGACTGGCACGGGGCAGCCTTATTTCTCTTCTGTATACAAACAAAAAAATTAAGTCCTCAGCTTATATAGTAGACATTTTCTTTCTAAAAGAGAAATCAGCAACAAACCGATACTACTCCCCTTAAGCCATTCTTCCTAAATCCTCCTTTTGAGGCAGAGAGAGGAAATAATAGAAACAAAACTAAGTTTAAAGGATTTTTCAGTAGTAGAAGACATTTTAAGGCCAAAAAGTGTAATACTAACAGAATTTTTCTTTTCCTACGTTATTGTCCTTCATAGGCCAATACCACAAAGTTAATTGTACTGATTCCCTCCCAAAGAGAATTTTAAAATTCATTCACTTTTGTTACTGGCTGTGCTACAGGAAAGGTATCAAAACAACCTATAAAGGTATGGTATGTTGTAATGTAAAAAGTGCATCACATTTTTGATTTTCAGTTTCTCATAGCAGCAGCAGGATTAATCCGAGACAGATAAACAGTTGTATTTTCATTCTAAAAATGCAACATACCTAATGAAATGTATTCAAGATCATGAAAGGATCCTCCTCTTAAAGGATAAATGAAACAGACTAATAATAGACAAACAGGGGCAAACTAGAGGCATTCATTCATATTTACATATTAAAATCATTTTAACACCAAATCTTTATATCTAGCAAAAGAAATATTTTAAAAATAAAGCAGACATTACTAAAGCAGTATCCATTTTTGGAGCCTTTGTTTAGCACCTGAGGAAAAAGGGTATATGGAAAGCTATATAATTTACCTCAAGTTGGTTTATTGGTCTGTGGAGTAAAACTGATATACAATGAAAGGGATACTGCACTGGGAAAAAAACACATTTGTAACTATGTTAATAAGGCTGTAGAAAAGGGATACTGCAGTATTATAAAATGGCTTTAAAACTCTGGACATACACAATTGTATGGATAAATAGGGAAGTCTGAATCAGCAATCCCATCACATGTGAGGATGGCTGTTCCATAGGCTTCTAGCCAATAACTGCTGACACTCCCAGTAATGCAAAATCAACATACCACTCATGCTTCACTGGGTGTTTTTATTATGCATACAACTTGAAACACTATTTATTCATAAGACTCTTGAGTAGCAAAACTGTGAAGTTTAATTTAAAACACATTAAAGCACTGCTTTTGAGTGGAGCCAATGATTCATCATTTAAAAAACCAACATAGGGTGGTCCTGTTTCTCACATCTGAACAGATGTAAGTATATTAAAAAAAGAAACAACACATTTTATGATACTTAAAGCAAAAGCCCATCTTTTTCACCATAAAAGAATCCTGGTGCCTGTTAATTACATTAATAAAAATAACATCAATATTAAGAACTGATAACCTATGTGTCTCTGCAAACTTTGAGCAGCTATACTTCTAGTCTTGTCCTTTGCCCATCCCCTTTAAACAAATATGTATACTTTGGGAAGTTAAGCAAATCCTACCCTTTCTTTTAAAATTCAGCAGTACTACCTAGGACTTAAGAGACAATGCTTGATTAGAATCTAATTCAACTGGTGCAGGCCAACAGACCTATTATAAAACTATTGTCCAAATGTGTGTTTTTCCCACTATAGTGTCTGTTTTGCAGTTAGCATAGGTATACAAGAGGGATCATGTTATTTGAGAATATGGTCCAGTGGCATAACTACACTCATAATTCTTGTAAAAATGAGACTTTTAATCTATTTCTCTAAAGAAAGCCTTGAAAGAATGACTCCTTATTTAGTGGAATTTAGAATCAAGTGCAGTCCTCTTACAGATTTCTTTGCCTGTGGCCTTTTGGTATGTGACATACAATTTCACACTAAATGGCTTTTTCATGTTTGAAAAAGTGTACAGCAAAAGATAAACCATTATTAGATCCCTCTAATTAGGTTAGCAACAAACCTCATGACTAAGGATGAAACCACCACTGCTATGTACTGCTTTGTGAATAAACACATTTGTATTGTGGACAACGTTCATAATTGAGGTTTGCAATACCTTCCCTAGAAACTGTTATTTGAAGAAAACAATGCAGCACTTCTTTCCTTTATAAAGCTTTTATAGATTCTGAGTGATGACTAGGTAAGCAGGTGATTAACAACAAAATTCTAAAATGGAATCTTTCCAGCCATTTATTTCAAGAAAAAAACTATTTGGCATTAACAAATTCCTAGTTATTTTCTATGGCCTCCTCAAAGGCAGAGGAGAAAGGGCTAACTACAGATGCTGTAAATACACTTTATGTGAAAGTTCATTACTAGGAGGTCAGAGGAAAGGCTATGCAATTATCTTCAGTTCAGCAAAGTGGGAGTGAATAAAGAGAAAGATAAACACACCCTGTCTTTTGTGGGGAGGGGGAATTATTCAAGACATCTACAAGAGAGTGGTATGTGACACAAAAGCCTACAATCAAGACAGATTTAAAAAGAAATCTTCACCCATAATTAGTATCTTCATAGCTATTAAAAAAATAGGTCATGATTTCATTCTTAGTGCCATTTTTCAAACACTACCCCTTAAAGGATTAAAACCACCTGACTTTATTCTGTAATGAAAACAAATGGCACAAAATAAATAGAAGTTCATTCTCTGAATACTAATGTCTTACACACACTTGTTTACTAACTTTTAATATCTCCTTCTTTCCCTCACACACACACAAGCAGTCCACACATACATACACACACACACACACCCCATTTGCAGTCTTTATAATGGAGGGATGTTAAAAATCCCCTCTAGACTGTATTTGGTTTATGCTACAGTACTAATACTCTGAGTTGAAGGAAAATTCTTTATACCAAACAATAACACATTAATGTTATTTAAATGTGCTAAATTAATCACAGCTGAAGTTTTTTTAGAAGCTTACACAAAAATAATGAGAAAACAGATCAACTCTTAAGATTTTTTTTTTTAATAAGTGCTCTGTAAGGAATTGTGTGAGGACCTAAGGAGAAAGATTGCGACAAGTAGAGAGTTAAGTATTACCAAACAGCACAAAGGAAATTTGTCCCAAAGTCCTGCTTGTACCTAAGCAATTAAGTCCATTAACCCAATGCCCCCAAAATACTGACAGTTAATATGATGGGGCACTAGGGTTACCAGAAGGTTAAGAGATATTTCTAACTATATACCTCTAACCATATACTCAAGGAAATTTCAGTGAAATCAAAGTGAAATGTTGCATTGTCTCGTTTAGATGTGAGACTCTGAAAAACCTTTGGACAAACAGAGAAGGGATACATTCTCTTTTTGGCTTCTCTAAACATGGAGGCCTGAGGGATATGGAAGGGAAGTAGGAAAGCAACAACTTTCTAGAAATATTTTATAAGTGTTGCTTCTAAATTTAAAAGCCCAATTCAGATGGGGGCTGGTTTGGGATTTTTTTTTTTCTTTTTAAATGTATATTAATTCAACCTCTATATGTCACAAACCCAGAAAGTTTCCTGTGAGTTGTGACAAAAGAGCTTTAAAATTCCAGGCAAGCAAAATGGAAATTAAAAAAAAAAAAAAGGAAGGGGACATGGGAGGGTGGGGGTGGAATCTGGCCCTAAGGCGACAAGTGGTTACACAAGGCAATTGAACACACAGCAGAACTTTAAAACCTGTAAAACAAACTGGAGCCTTTTTTCCTTTAATCAACCTTATATAGTTTTTTAAAAAAACTTTTTGAAAATTTTTATTAAAAAAAGAACACAAAAACACAGACTTCTTTCACTTCATTGCATTTCCAGTTTGTTCAATGCTTTAAAGCTCAAGGATGCTTCTGCTTTCAATTGTACATGGGCTTGAAGCATCCTAGCTTTTGGCAAGCAGGCAGGAGACTCAACAAAAATCAAAATGGGAACAAGGCAGACTAAATGCAGGGCACATCTGTAAACATATTATACATTTAAAAATTACAATATCAGTAAAAGTGATACAGTTTACAGGTGAAATGAAACTATCTGAAACTGGCCTATCACAAGTTTCTGAACCTGGACTGATACAATAAGTTATTATATATATATATGTATATATGTACACACACACACACACATATATATATATATACACACACACATACATATATATATATATATATATTATGTATAAAAAGTTTTGTTTACATCAAGTGGAATTGGCAATCCATGCTTATACTTTTAAAATCTAAGCAGGGCAGAAATCCAGACTATAAAGATATTTATTCTATGTTGAGTCCAATAGCTTCTTTCAAAAACTACTTGTTAAAAGCCTCAAATAGTCAACAAAACAAGAAAACTCATCCATACTACAGTCGCTCAAAACTGGACATTTCTTAAGCAACAGGGTTGAGCAAAAGTAGCTGCTTTCTCCCTGAACATCCCAGGGTATCCAGTCTACTTTTATTAGAAGACTACACCTCTCTATAGAAATGCCCTGCTATTTTAACCTGTATCTGACATACATGGATATACTAATTTCTGTGTGTGTAATGTGATGCTATATCAGGCCAGAGAACTTGTTTTTATGCCACTAACATCACCCAATCTTAAATTGGACCCTTTGTTTCTGCACACACAAAAAAACTTATTTTAGCATGCTATATACAAGCTGCAGTGCAACAAGATGGCAATGTGATAAGACAGGGTCAATGCTCTTCTCTGCCCAAAAGAAAATTTCCAGAGTTTCACATTATTTTCCTTAAAAAACCCATTTTGCTCTAGTAATAAAATATATTTATTAAGATATAATTAGAAAGCTAATAAGCTCAGAAGTATAATTTGCATGAAAACACATCTCCTATTGGCAGGGTTTATTATCTCCTCTCTGGCTAAAAACATTAAAAGTTTTAGTTTTCATGGAATTTTTTCTTCCCTTTAGGATATTTCTGAGAAATTAAAAGAATTTACAAAAAGGTACAGAAGTTTCTCTTTAGATGTTTGATGAAAAAAAAGGAAAACAGCACATTTAGTGTTAGTGACAGAGAGCAAGTCTGGAGCACCTACAGTTGAAAAGCAGAATATATTTTTGCTCCCACTTATATAATTACATTAAAAGATGGGCACAGGAGTATTTTTTTATATTAAATATCTAAAGCCAATTGTTTGTTATGTTACTTTTCTTTAAATGACACTCATGGATTCTTCACTTGTTAAAGTCCAATATGTAACTAAAGCCAAGTGAACTATGTACCACCAACTATTCCAGAACTGTAAAACTTCAATGCCCTCCCCTAACCCCACCCAACAAAAAAATAAAAGAAAGAAAATATTTCCCCAACACCCCACAGAGGCTGCTTAACTCCTGGCAAGACATGCAAATCATACTCGCTAAAAAAATACACTCCTGCAAACTTCAAGGCATTTATCCAGCATTCTTGCAGGGCTCAAAGCATAACCAAAAGATTAAGGGAGGAGTGGGAGAAAATGTTGACTCATTCTGGGTTCCCTGTGATTAGTGTATCACTTTAGTCACAGAATAAGATACAGAGATCTCTTAAGTGGATCTGCTTTTCCAGTGGGTCATTTGTTGCCCAATTGATGACAGCAGGAACTTTAGAACCACAAGTCTGTATTCATTAATTACTTGCATTCACACTTAAAAACAAAAACTAACATAAGAAAAAAGAAAAAAAACTATTCAGTACCGGAGATTAAATAACCATGTGTTGTCTCTTGAAATAAATTTGATTCCTTAAGAAGTCTAATTACTTTCAGTTGCCTTTTTTTAAATAACTATATATATATATATATATATATGTATATATATATATTTGTATATATTATCCTGTGATTCTACTTATGGTTCCTCTGCTGCGTTGAAGATCTAGGAGCATAAAAGCCTTGTGTCCCCCATGAACAGTGGCTCTAATGCTGCAGAAAGGTTACAAATAGGCAGTCTGGTCCTTCATTGATCTGGACTATCCATGGCTTCATTGTAAGTGATTATCCTTTTGGGATCTGGAGGGAAGGTTAAAAAAGAAATACATAAATAAAAATAAGGTTTGGAATCCTCAAATGGCCATATTCCAATAACAAATCCAAAATAAACATCATCATTTAAACTGCACCTCCTTTTAATGAAAATACAATTTAAAGACCATTTCCTATTTGTATTAACACGTGCATGATCCATTTTTCTCTGCCTAATAGCTCAGCATCCTAATGGATTCCAGCAACAGAGTTGTCAAGCCAATGCAAACCTCAGCTCTTACATATGAGAGTCGAGTTCACTAACAAGGGATTTCTTTATGTGTTTTTCCTGATTATAAAAGTAGTATATTGGAAAAAAGCAGGCCAAAACAAACAAAAATCTTAAATTGTCAATAACCCAATACTAAAATTTTTGGATTTCTTTTCTTTTGTTCACAGAATAATGAAGTCAAATTTTATTTTAACCAATGTGGATTGTCTATAGTTAGAAATTGTTCAAGTAACACCTACCACCAAAAACTTCAAGATAAGCTGGTTGCGTCCTAATCATAACTTATTTCTTCCTTTTATTTCCCATAGCACAACTAGCCTTTTTTCTCAAAAACAGCAAAAGTCTATGGATCTGCTGAGTTCAAAGTATAAAACAGAATATGTATGGCCAAGATGCCAGTGTTATTTTAAATTCCTATTATATAGCTGTATGCCCCCCTCTTTTGAGAGACAATGATTTTATTACATATTATTTCTACCTATCACAAGAACTTTTTATAAAAAAGTATATATGCTTTAATAGAAAATAGAAAACAATAAAACTTGTCACCTAATGGGAAAGTATAAAGACCTGAAAACAATACCGAAAAACTCAAGTTCCCCTTATCTTAAGATAGAGCCAATCTAATAATTTAGTCCAGAGATAATATTCTTTCTAGGACTTCAAAGGCCATCCACTAGCATCCTGCCCTGAAGATAATGCTCATTCTAAACACCTTTCGTACCGCTCACGAGTTTTCTCGTGTTTCACGCCCATGGAAAAAGGAGCGAATCTAGATACTTATGTAAATTTTGTTTGGTCCCTCTTCATAGAGGAAAATGTTTTACGCAGTACCATACGTTAAAAAAGTACTAGAGGAAAATGTTTTACGCAGTACCATACGTTAAAAAAGTACTAGGAACTTTAATTGTTTAATTGTTTTTGTATATGATGATTTAAATAACGTGCAGTTTGCCCGAAAACGTGCAGTCCCTGGCGTATGTCTTAGAGATTTCTATGCGGTACGAAAGGTGTTAATAGTTAATAGTCATTTTACAGTAAAAAGAGAGGTCTACCTCTCTTTTTGCAGGATATATTTTCTTGTCTACCCTTTTTTCATATGTGTTTGAATATAAAGATACACAGAAAGTATTTCAAAATAGTTTAAGAGATTGCTAGTTATCTTTAGGCTATAGCTGTTTTAAGACCAAAAAGACCTGGCCTAAGAATAAGAGCGAGTTGGAAGAAGGAGCAGTATTAGGAAATCAGAGAAACCTATATTCTAGTCCTGCCACTTTCTAGCTTATACAGTAACCTCTCTGGGCCTCAGTTTCTTAATCTGTCATAAGAAAATCTGACGTCCTTCAAGTTCTGAAATTCCAGGAATTTCACATTCATCTGAAAGTGAGATACAATTCAGTTACAGGGTTCTGAAGGCCCAAACCTATTAGTGACTAGTTCTCTATACTTTATTTTATAACTACCATATCTTAATATATTTGGAAAGAAGGCACATACTAATTAGGATAACCAATTCCAATTTTATGAAAATTTTAAATAATCCAGATATGGATTATCTAGTCCCTGTCCTCCTGCTATTCATATCTTGTTTATGGGGATGAAAGAAGCTAATTTGCTATTCTCTCAATTTCTAACCATCTTTTCAGGAAATATACAGCCCAAATAAGGTTTCTAAAACAGCAAATATTTTTTTGAACTATGAATTTCAGTTCTTAGGCTACCACACAAGTACAGATAAAGACTGACCATAAGTGGAAACACTTATTCATGTTGGTTTCCTAGATTAAAAATATTTATGGTCTGTCTTATTTTCATAATCAGGAGCAAAAGAAAATATTTATGTTCTTTACCTAGCAGATAAAGAGTACTTAACCCTTTGCACTCCGCTGTCCCCTCTCAGGGGACATCGGAATTCTAGCATATCACTCGGATGTCCCCTCTCAGGGGACATTGCAGTTTATTAGTGATTACGGGGAATTGAGTTATTTCAACGCAACTTTTTGAGACATGCATGTTTCCCTGAAGTTTTATCTTGAAATGGCACAAGAAATTAAATCAAAATATCGTAAAATTACTAAGATATATACAAGAAATGTCAGCGGGTTTTGTGTCGGATTAAACAATAAACTACATATTCCCGATGTGGGACAAAGAAAACGGGACTGCATTGTGTGTTCTAACAGGAAAACACCTGGTGGCAGGCGTCAAACCACTTATTACTGTCAAACATGCACTAATCAGCCTGCAATGCATATTGGGGAGTGTTACAAAACTTATCATACTGTACAAAATTATAAACAATAAAATATTGGTTTTTTTTGCAAATATACATTCCTCGATGTCACTCAATTCATATAAGTCCAATATCATTATAATACGTTACTTGGTTCCAAAATTATACTAAATAATACGAGGGTCTGTAAATGCACGTTTCCGCCACAAAGTAGCGTCGAGTAGCTGGTAGCCAATGTCCAGAATGGTTCGGAGTGCAAAGGGTTAATATATTCTTTCCCTTAGTGTTACCCAATCCTTAGCAGTCTTGATATGGTTGCGAGTGCCTTCTGACTACAGTTATCAAATAACTCAAAATACAAAATCTTAATTATTTGGTAGGCCATTATTCATGTTATTCACATTGCAAAATAAAGTATAGTAAATAGTGATTAGTACTAACATTTCTGATAACCTAAACATTCTTACCTTGCTTCTGTAAATTCCAAACAGATTCCATTTCTGCAAAGGAAAAAAAAAATTATTTTATACACTAAGTTTTGCAGAGCACTTTAAAGTTATGCTGAACTCTAAAAACCTACACTGGTGATTGCTGGCTGGAGGTAGGGTTGAAATAGCACAGTTCTATGGAGCTCAGACAAAACAACTCATATTTTTCTATATTCTTAAGAATGTCATTCAGACTGCCTTAAGTATTAATTACAGAAAGTTAATTATCTAAAAATCAAACTGCTAAGAGAACTATTTTGTCTACATAAATAGCAAAGATATGTAGAAGCATGCTTAAAATATTTGTTGTAATAGCTCATTGTTATTGTTTTAAAAAGTTATTTTTTGGCAACCCATCACCCCTCAACAAGGTCCCCAAATCTTCACAATGAAACATTTATTAAAGTGATTAAGCTTGGTGCTTAAAATGCCATATTAAAATTTTACTTAAATTTTGCTATAAGCAAATGGTTCTATTTTTTAAGCCACACCCACTTATTTTAACCCTTATGGCCAAAATGCCTATCCATAGCCATTTATTAATAACACAATCTTTATTTGCTCCAATTCCATTCAAATGTGATTATCTACAATGTGATTACTTTGGTATCTTACAATAAGGGAAATATACACACGACCAAACTTTAGTGACATACAGAAAGAAGGCAAAAGCTCTACCTGGGAGGCATACTAGAAAGCTTCACCAAGGGGATATTTGAAGTATTGATGAATAAGAATAGATGAGCCCTAGCCAGTTTGGCTCGGTGGATAGAGCGTGGGCCTGCTCATGTTATCAAATAACCAAAGGATCCTGGGTATGATTCCAACCAAGGGCATGTACCTTGGTTGTGGGCTCCTCCCAGGCCTGGACCCAGGCCTGGTTGGGGCTTGTGCAAGAGGCAACCAATCGATGTCACGTCATTGTTCCTCTCTGTCTTTCCCTCTCTCTTCCACTCTTTCTAAAAAGATCAATGGGCCCTAACCGGTTTGGCTCAGTGGATAGAGTGTCGGCCTGTGGACTGAAGGGTCACAGGTTCGATTCTGGCCAAGGGCATGTACCTTGGTTGCGGGCACATCCCCAGTGGGAGGTGTACAGGAGGCAGCTGATCGATGTTTCTCTCTCATCGATGTTTCTAACTCTCTATCCCCTCTCCCTTCCTCTCTGTAAAAAACCAATAAAATATATTTTTAAAAAAAAAGATCAATGGGAAAATATCCTTGGGTGAGGATTAACAAAACAAAAAAAAATAAGAGTAGATGACTATTACACAAGAATCAAAAAGAATTGGACCTTGAAAGAAAATACTATACTAGCAGATTAATAGAAACAAAAACTACTTAGAAACAGGAGTGAGCTATAACTAATACTGGGAATAAGTGCTCTTCCTGTGACCATACAACTACCATTTTTAAAAGACAAAAGGTGATTTTAAGCTCTATAACTGAATTCTGTGTAATTGTTTTTTATTTTCATCAGCAACCAATTATAGTAAAGCAAAACAAAACTGGAGCTCACTAAGATAGGATATATCTGGACATGGATTACAGTTACGATACAACATAATCCTTTTCCATGGCTAAAATAGGTGCATAGATTCTAAAAATTATTTTTTGTTTTATGAATATGGATGGTGTTAGGGCATGGGGAGGAGAATCACACTCTCCCTGCCTGACTGCCCACACTACCCCCGTCCCAATCAAACTCACCTCTAAAAAACTGGTACTTTTTGAAAATTTGCCAGAATTGAATATTTGGAACAAATAGGTTAATTATTCCAATGATCAAATTATCCAGATAAAAGCCCATTAAAAGTATTACAACAGCCCTAACTGGTTTGGCTCAGTGGATAGAGCAGTGATGGCAAACCTTTTGAGCTCGGCGTGTCAGCATTTTGAAAAACCCTAACTTAACTCTGGTGCTGTGTCACATATAGAAATTTTTTGATATTTGCAACCATAGTAAAACAAAGACATATTTTTGATATTTATTTTATATATTTAAATGCCATTTAACAAAGAAAAATCAACCAAAAAAATGAGACGCGTGTCATAGGTTCACCATCACTGGGATAGAGTGTTGGCCTGCAGACTGAAGGGTCCCGGGTTCAATTCCGGTCAAGGGCACATGCCCAGGTTTCGGGCTTGATCCCCAGTGGGGACCGTGCAGGAGGCAGCCAATCAATGATTCTCTCTCATCATTGATGTTTCTCTCTCTCTCTCTCCTTCTCCCTTCCTCTCTAAAATCAATAAAAAATATATATTTTTTAAAAGTATTATAACAATTCTCTTATTTAACAAAGAATGGGAAATAATGCACTGATCGTCATTTGGTTCAAGAGCTTAGCTGGATGCTATTGCCTTTAAACTGCTGGGTAGATGCCCATCCTCTCCTACGAGGCCTAAGAAGGGGAGAGAATTGTAACCAATCTAATCTGGAAAAAAAGAAGATACGTCACAAAGGGAATTCTGGTCATGGTGTTCATATTTATGACTCCAAAATAATTTATAATTTATAATTCCATTAGTTTCAGACATTCAGGAATAGCACTGTTATCCTATAAATTTCTGTGTTTCAGAATGGCTTATCTTAAGAAACACCTTTCTTTGGTTGACGTGACTACAAAAAGATTAATCCAATACAACCAACATTTTTTCTTTTAGTGAAAGTACAGAAATCTCACATTTTACAACAAATAAATTCCTGAGTTCTGTATACAGGTTATTTGATGCTCATTATTGTAAGTTTGCTTAATGCAAAGATAAATCTACATTTAGTTACATATTGAGGAAGAAAAGTAACAATCAAACTTTTCATTTTAGCCACCTATGCTATAACAACCTTTTTTGAGGGTTAGGAGCGAAGGTGGACTACACTTGAGTCATAGTAGCAACCATACTACTTTAAAACAAAGCAAACAAATTTTTATTTTTTTGTTGTTTTTTGTTTTGTTTTGTTTTCATGCCCTTGACTGGAATCGAACCTGGAACCCTTCAGTCCACAGGCCAATGCTCTATCCACTGAGCCAAACCAGTCAGGGCAAAGCAAACAAATTTTAGAATGAAAGTAACTACAGTTGACCCTTGGAACAACATGGGGATTAGGGACACCAACTCCCTGTGCAGTCAAAAATCTGAGTATAACGTTTGACTCCCCAAAAACTTAAGTTGTCCCTTGGTTACTTCCCTCAACTTCATAACTTAAGCTTATAAAATCTGAGGGTTAAATTTTAGCTTCTACAAATTCCTTACAAGCTACCTTTCAGACTAATACCAAAGTAAATTCATTACTGCACTCATAAAGCAGACTTAATGAGAAATCAAGTGCCCAGTATGGATGCTAAAATGGCAATTCATTGGGGAAAAAAGGATCTTATGCCATCTTAATTACTTGTTACATACATGCCTATGTCTCTAAGAGAAGAAAAAGACATCCCTCCCCCAAATCTAGGCAATATAACCAGGGCTGAAACCAAAATCAAATCTGCAGGTAATGAGATTAGGGGAAAAGTAAGGTTATTATTAAAATATTAATAATCTCTAATATTAAAGGTATTTTCTAAGATTATTAGCTGTGAAGAAATCATGGAGCAATTGCTATAAAATACAGTAAAGATGAAAATACTTATTAAGTATTGTGCTAAAAGGAGAAAACTTAATATTCAGATAGATCCTTCTGTAAACAAATGTCTCAACTGTATACATAGTCATCCCGTAGATAGTATTAATCCTGCCCTTATCCAACCTAAACACTTTAAAATATTTATTCTAAGATAAATAAAACTGTTATTTTTCTGCCTGGACTATTCCAGGAGTCTAACGGACCTACTTCTAGTCACCAGAAAAAAGGTTTCCAATCTACCCTACAAATTGGTGTCACATTAATCTCTCTGAAAACGGATCTACAAGTCAGTCAACTGCTTAATACCAACTCACTTGAGTATAATGTGTTAGGACCTGTGGACAAAAAGGGGCCACATGCTAACCTGACTAGCTCAGGGAAGGCCTGTATGGTGGCCTTACAAACTCTAGAGACCTAAAGTAACCACAAAGGATGGTCTGAAATTAAAACTTTTTAACTAAAAGCAGTTTATGGCAGGTAGTCATGTCCTAGGCTAGATTCTTCCCTAACAAAAGTCAATCTTTACCTTAACTAAGCCTGTCTGTTGTCTTTTACACCTATGATAACATTATCACTGGAATGTCAGGGTAACTTGTAACTCCCTTTCTCTGGACCCCTCAGGGCAAGAGGGAGACCACAAATTCCGTTATTGTTATCATTTTAATATAGTTGACTATTAACTATCCTGTACCCACCTATGTAAAAGAGGCATGTGTCTTATTTTTCTTTTTATCTAATCCCAGAGGTTTCCCAGCTTTGCTATTCTCCCACCTCCCTAATTTACCACCAATGGATTTCTTGTAACCCACTTATGTCTCCTTTGATTGTAATGCATAAAACAAGGTGAAAAAACCGCCATTCTCGAGGAGCATTATCCCAATTGAGATTCTGCTTCCCGGCAATTGTGGACAGTTTGGCTCAAATAAACTCACAAGAATTCTTTGCAGATTTGAATGTGTTTTTTCCATTAACAGACCAAACAAATAAAAATCAGGAAACCCACGCTTAAAAATGATAAATGATTTGCCCAAGTATCTGTCTTCTGTCATTTAAATTACTTCCATTCCACCAGTCTATCTTCCTGACATTCAAATGAAAACTTACCTTCCTTCTCTTTTAGAGCCACTCAGCACATCCTAACTGGATGGATCCAGTCTAATATTTACATTTACTCATGATTCTCTTCCAACTTTTGTATTCTTTATCTTCCTCTTTTCTGTATTTCCATATCAAAAATGTTACCTATCAAAACCCAGTTTAAAGCCATTGCCTCCATGAAAACATATCATACATTTACTCTTTCTACTTTCACTCCATTAAATTCTCTTCCTCCACTAAAATCTCCTAGCTATTTGTATCCTTCTTATGACATTTAAAATCTTACCATATAAAC